TTTGCATAAGTTATAATGAAATTTTTATGATTCATAACATAGAAACGTTGAAGAATACTTCACTTCTAACAGTTTAAAAATATTATTCAGATCACACGAGAAAAATACAATTAAATTGGAGGAGACGATTCGATATCATTTATGGAATCATTAGAGGAATTTTATACCTTCATCAAGATTTGATATTAAGGATAATTCATAGAGACTTAAAGGTCAGTAATGTCTTGTTAGACTCTACATTGAACCCACAAATTACAGATTTTGGCATGGCTAGAATATTTGGTGGAGATCAAATTGAAGCAAGCACGAATCGTGTTGTTGGAACCTAATAAGTGCTCAACAGTGTAAAGACAATTTAAGCTTATGAGCAATACATTATATGGATTCTCGATATAATTTTTTATTTACATGGATTCCCAATTCCACAATTTCACATAAAAATGATAATAATTAGTTGTACTCACTTTTGACATCATCATCAACATCAATATCTTTGTAATTGAATAGGACCTCATGAGTTAGATAGGTTAGTGATTTGCATGTGATACAATATGCTAGAAATATCAATTTATCAAGTCATATATTCTTAGTTAAGAATTTAAATATTTCATATTGAAATTTCTGTTTCTAACTTTTAAAAATCTCCTCTTATAGTGGTTACATGTCACCTGAATATGCAATAAAAGGATTGTTTTCAATAAAATCTGACCTATATAGCTTTGGGGTTTTACTTCTTGAGATTGTTACTAGCAGAAAGAATAGTGGCCATTATGATGACATCCTTCCTACTTTAGTTGGACATGTAAGTTTCTGTAAGGAACAACCACTATAAAATTGAACTAATTACTCCTCCATAGTCTAATTATCTAACGCCTTCAATTAATTTAGATTTGGGACCTATGGAGAGGAAGCAGAGCCATGGAAATTGTTGATCCAGCATTAACGAATAAGCCATGCCTTGAACATGAATTTCTAAAATGCATCCAGATTGGACTATTATGTGTACAAGAGTACGCATCAGATAGACCAGCTATGTCAGAAATTGTTTCCATGTTGGAGAATGACTCAAATCCTCTTCCCCCTAAACAACCAGCTTTTGTTTTCAAGAGAACTACTTGTGATCATTCAAACCCATCAGTTGAAGAAGTTCATTCGGTAAATGGAATGAGTACTACAGTGATTGAAGCTCGCTGAAGCCTGAAACCCACATCAAAACATATATGATACTGATTGAACTCTTTTAGTGCTACTTATTGTGAAGTGAATGATTCTAGCTAGACTTTCCAACTTTTGTAAAAGTTAATGATGCATATATAATTTCCTATTATTGGACTCAAAAAGCAAAGTTGGGTGTACAAATTAAACTTGCTAAATTATGATTAGGCCTGGATGTATGGCAATACCAACAATCAATTATTAATTCCTTGTAAAATTAGATTCTTTCTTTTGGTATCATTGGTCATGGAACATATATATGGTGTGATAACATCTGAAAATTCTTTGAAATAAAGATTCAAAACAGGAACGACGCATATATCTTTTACTTTTGAAGTCAAATGTAAAGGTGTGCGTGTACTGACGGTCGCTAGCAATCGGTAGTGGTTGGTGCTTGGTGATTGTTTGTGGTCAACAATATTGGCCCATGGCAATTGGAGCAGGTAAATTTAGCTATAAAAATAAATTATAAAAATATTTGATTTTGGTAGTAAAGTATAAATATTTGTTAAAATTAAATTATAAAAATAAATTATGGAGAACGAACGCATGGCTAATTTTTATTCAAATTTTAATTTTGATTTTGATTCTTTAGAGTTAAGATCTAATACTAGAAGATGATCCCTATCTATCAATTTAAACTAAAAAAGCAGAGTGATAAACACATACTAGTCACAGAGTGAACATAATTAACAATTGAAGTGGTTGTGATTCTTGAAAGAAAGTTGATCTAGACATGAGTGCCATGAAATTGCTAGGAAATTAACAAGCATGCAGAGTTGCCAACAATCCTTAATTTTCTTTTGTTCAATTTTCTTCTATGAAGACTTCAAAGTCTCATTTCTTTCGTGCATATTGGTTTTGAAATTAGAAGGAAAATGATTGTTACTGACCGTGGAGATTGGAGCATCATATTCATTTTTCTAGCTAGCTGAAATTAGAATGAAAAATGTTGATTTACTTCGAAGTTTGAGGCGTCAATACTATATACCTTGCTTTAAAGAAGTGTGTGGATGGACTTAAGGCAATCTGGGAAGTCTCGAATTAGATAAACTTAGGGCCAATAACTAATATATGTATGTATGTATGTATGTATGTATGTATGAATGTATGTAATGTTGGGTTGTCTATCCTTAGTGGATTAGGCCTATAAATATAAGCCCATTATAAAATGGGGCTTTACTAGAAATGTGGGAAAGGTATGGGACTATAAGAGCAATATGCTTGGGGTCATATGTGCAATTTTCCCCATTTGTTTTAATTTCATGTGGGAACAGTTATTGTATGAACGATGAGTTAACTCCCACTAAGAGTGGGTAGTTTATAAATGAGTGAGAGAGATTCACTCGCTTTATGTTCTTGAGCATTCAGCCTTTCCTCTTGTTTTCTCTTTTTCTCTCCTCTCCTTCTCAATGCATTTGTTGTGTACTTTGAACCAAGTTCAAACGGTAACTCCATTCCTATGTAGAGGAATCATCTGGGGCACTTATAGGTACTCTTTTAGATTCCACAAATGAAACGGAGAGAGCAGAAACGGAAGATGCATAATGGAGATGAAACGGAAAGAGCAGAAATAGGAGACGCATAATGGAGCACAATAAACTCTTTGTAACCTCCCCTTAATTTCTATAACCTCCCTTTTACTTTGTAAGCTTCAGTTTTCACGATTCCAGAACTATAAATAGGGCCTTTTGGTTGTGTAAGGAGCTCAGACTTGAAAAGAATAAGAATTACTTGTTTTCATTCAGTTTCTGTGCCATTTTGGTATTAGAGCAAGGTTCAGAGAGCGAGAGAGTGAGTTACAGTTGAGAAAGTACGCCGGAGAGGAGAGAGATTCAGTGGAGGAGTCCCTGATGTCTTCTCGTTTTGAAATCCACGCCTTTTCTTGAAAAACTAACGTCACCAGCGTGTTCAGGAGTTTCGAAAACGTGGATAAGAGGTTTCCCGTCGCCAAAAAATTCGTCACGCACCCACACGCGCCTCGCCGAAATAACACGCGCCGACGCTGTCTTCGCACGCGCCATTCCAAGGTAGACGACGATGACATCATCTGCCACGTCATCTCTTTGACCGGTCAAACGCAGGTCATCCAATCGTTCTCTACCACTTGTCACTTTCTCTCGCGTCACTAAACCCAGTTAGCTAAAATTTTCAGAAATTACATTTTCGCCCTAAATCTTCAGTAATTCCATGTTAACCCCAATATTTTCCTAAATTCCATTTTTACCCCTAATCTTTCCCAAAATTACACTTTTGCCCTTTATTTTACCTGAATTCCATTTTGACCCCTATATTTTCCATAAATTACAGTTTAACCCCCTCATTTTTCAAAATTCCCATTTTTCCCTAGCCTTTCCAAAAATCCCATTCTATCCCTATATTTTTTCAACGTTTCCATCCGTACCCCAATCTTTCCTTTATCAACCTATCCAAAATGCCTCCAAGACGTAAATATGTGCACGAGGTTGAGATGGAAGAGATGAGACGTAGGATACGAGAGTTGGAAGCCACTATAGAATTGTAGCGAACTCTGTTAAACAACAATAGAGAAAACTTAGAGGGAGATTCGGGAAGCAGCAGTTCATCATCCACCGACAACCGCCATTGCCCACGATAACAACAATTCCGCCCTAATGATATCAAGGTCGACATTCCTGAATTTGAGGGAAGACTCTAGCCAGACGAGTTTGTAGATTGGCTGCAAACTGTTGAACGAGTATTTGAATACAAGGAGATTCCAGATGCACAGAAAGTCAAAATTGTCACCCTCAAACTCAAGAAACATGCTTCTATTTGGTGGGAAAACCTCAGACGGAAGCTGGAAATGTGAGGGAAAGCGCAAGATTGAGACTTGGGAGAAAATGAAACGCCAGCTCACCAGGAAATTTCTGCCAGATCATTACCATCAGGATAATTTTATCTAGTTGCAAAATCTTCGATAGAGATCTTTATCTGTAGAAGAATATACTAGAGAGTTTGAACAACTCATGATGAAGTGTGATATTCAGGAGAAGGAGGAGCAAACAATAGCCCGGTATCTTGCAGGCTTAAACACAGATATCAGTCGTCCAGTCCAGCTTCAACAATATTGGACCTTGGATGATGTCATCTGTTTAGCCATGCGTGTTGAGAAGCAGATACCCAAGAGATCCACTTTCCAACCTTCATCCTCTAGGGGTTATCTAGAAGGCCGTAAGGCAGAATTTCAACAGACCAACTCCTCAAGCAAGCCACAACCTACTACTATGCGCAAACCACGATCCAATGCTGCCAAGGAATTTGGTTCTAAAGCAATCAAATGCTTTAAATGCCAAGGATTTGGCCACATTATTGTGGACTGTCCTACTCGAAGGGTTGTCACCATTCGAGAAGGATCAGGGTATGAAGCGCTTAAAGAAGATGAGGAGGACGCTAAGTTCTACGACATTAATCCCGTATATGATGAGGAGGTCACACCTGCTGATCAAGGAGAAGCATTGGTGCTTAGATGAAGTCTGCATACAACAGTAGTCAAAGAAGAACCTTAGCTACGATGCAACATTTTTCACACTTATTGCATGGCCCAAGGAAAAGTTTGTAATGTCATCATTGATAGTGGAAGCTGTGAAAATGTAGTATCTGACTACATGGTAGAGAAATTGAAGTTGCCAATACAAGATCATCTGTAACCTTACAAGCTTCACTAGCTCAACAAAGGGAATGAGGTAAAAGTTTCTAAACGATGCCTTGTGACCTTTTCTATTGGGAATCGATATTGTGATGAAGTTTTATGTGATGTTGTTCCCATGGATGCATGCCACCTTCTCTTGGGGAGGCCATGGCAATATGACCGACATGCTATGCACAACAGGCGAGCAAACACTTATTCTTTTATGAAAGATTGTGTCAAGTTCACACTAGCGCCTCTACCACCCAGTGAGATTGGCCAATCTTCAAGGGAATCTAGTGTCTCTAAGCCGTTAGTGTCTTTGTTAACTAAGGAGGAATTCAAGGTGTCAAAATCTGAAGCCCAAATGATGAGCTTTATTCTGGTGCTTGAGGTGAACGATGAGACGGCCAATCCACCTAGAGTCATTCCGCTATTGTCAGAATTTCCAGATGTAATATCTGATGAGATACCACCAGGGTTGCCTCCAATGCGAGACATACAGCATGCCATTGACTTCATTCCAGGAGCAGTCATTCCTAATAAGCTTGCTTACAGGATGAGTCCCCAGAAACATACCGAAGTCTAACGGCAAGTTGAAGAGTTGTTAAAGAAAGGGTTAGTTCGAGAAAGTGTCAGCCTTTGTGCTGTACCTGTTCTTTTAGTACCTAAGAAGGATGGAAGTTGGAGAATGTACATTGACTGTCGAGCCGTCAACAAGATCACTATTAAGTATCAATTTTCGATACCTCAGCTTGATGATATACTGGACCAGTTGCATGGTACCACTACTTTCTCTAAAATTGACCTTCGTAGTGGGTACCATCAAATCAAAATTCGGCCAGGAGATGAGTGGAAGATCGATTTCAAGACCAAAGATGGCTTATATGAGTGGAATGTGATTCCTTTTAGGTTAACAAATGCCCCTAGCACATTTATGCGCCTGATGAATCAGGTATTGAGACCCTTCATTTGTAAATTTATTGTTGTGTACTTTGACGATATTCTTATTTACAGTAAGAATCAAGAGGAGCATTTAGATCACTTGCGGCAAGTTTTGCAAGCCTTGCGTGAACAGAAGCTTTATGCAAATCTCAAGAAGTACACCTTCCTCACCAGTGAAGTTATGTTCTTGGGTTACATCATTACCGCAGAGGGTGTTTGCGTTGATCCAAGCAAAGTTGTAGCCATTGACAACTGGCCAATTCTAAAATCTATCCAGGAGGTTTGAAGCTTCCACGAATTAGCTTTTTTCTATAGGAGGTTCATCCGTAATTTTAGTTCAATTGCTGCACCACTTACAGATTGCACCAAAGGAGAGAAGTTTCAGTGGATAGAGCAAGCTTAGAAAAGCTTTGAGGAGCTTAAGAAGAAGTTGACTGAAGCTCCAGTCCTAGCTCTTCCTAACTTTGACCAAGTGTTTGAAGTTAGTTGTGATGCTTCTAACACCGGCATTGGTGCTGTCTTAAGCCAGGAGGGCCATCCCATTGCCTTTTTTAGTGAGAAGCTTAATGATGCCAAGCTTAGATATTCTACCTATGATAAGGAATTATATGCCATTATTTGAACTCTCTAATATTGGAGTCATTATCTCCTGAATAAAGAGTTCATACTTTTTTCTGACCATGAGGCTCTCAAGTATTTGAATTCCCAACAGACGATCAGTCACAGACATGCTCGTTGGAGTGAACTCTTACAGTCTTATCTATTCCTTATCAAACATAAGGCTAGAACTCTGAACTCCGTAGCTGATGCCCTTAGTCATCATCATGTGCTACTTACAACACTACAAACCAAGGTTGTTGGATTTAACCTCGTCAAAGAGTTGTATCAGGATGATCCTGATTTTTGAGGAGTGTGGGAAGCAATTGTAAATCAACCTTTCCACCAGTTCTACAGACACAATGGGTTTTTATTTCGAGGTACAACCCTCTGTATTCCATAGGGTTCCTTGAGAGAAGCCATAATTTAGGAAGCACATGACGGTAGATTAGCAGGACATTTCAGATGGGATAAAACAGTTGACCTGGTGAAGGAGAACTTTTACTGGCCTCGACTTGAATGGGATATCAACAGGCATATACAAAGATGCAAAATTTGTCACTTGGCTAAATACAAGGGTCAGAATATCAGACTATACATGCCTCTGCCAATTCCAGAAGCACCTTGGGAAGATATAACTATAGATTTTATTCTGGTTTTACCATGGACTCAGAGGTAAAAAGATTATATCATGGTAATTGTGGATCGTTTCTAAAAAATAGACCATTTCGTTCCATGCCAAAAGACTAATGATACTGTTCAAGTAGCAGACTTATACTTTAAGGAGATTGTGCGTCTTCATGGCATTCCTAAGACTATCATTTCTGACTGTGATATGAAGTTTCTCAACCACTTTTAGAGGATACTATGGAAGAAGATGGAAACTAAGCTCCAGTTTAGCAGCGCTAGTCATCCCCAGACAGACGGCCAAACTGAAGCAATAAACAGGATTCTTAGTAATCTTCTTCGTAGTTTCATGGGAAAGAATTTGAAGCAGTGGGATCTCATTCTTGCTCAAGTTGAGTTTGCTTATAATAACTCTGTCAACCAAGCAACTGGGAAGTGTTCGTTTGAAGTTGTTTATGGCACTCGTCCCTTTAGTCCACTAGACTTGACCCCTTCACTTAATAAGCAGCAATATAGTTTTGATACTAACCAAAGGGCTAAGGAAATCAAGAAGTTACATGAACAAGTTTGTGCCTGAATACAAAAGCAGAACTTGAGATACAAGACTCAACGTGACAAGCATCGAAAGTATTAAACTTTTAACATGGGCGATTTGGTTTGGATACATTTACGAAAGGAACAATTTCCTAAACAACCAAATGCTAAGCTGTCCCCGAGAGCTGATGGTCCGTTCAAGATAGTGCAAAAGATCAACAACAATGCTTACAAGGTGGAATTACCTGGTTCTTACGGTGTATCTGCCACCTTCAATGTCACTGATCTATCTTCGTACATTGATAAAGATAATGAATTTGACTCGAGGGTGAGTTCTGCCTAACCTGAGGAGGATGAAACGGAGAGAGTAGAAATGGAAGATGCATAATGGAGATGAAACAGAAAGAGCAAAAACGGGAGACGCATAATGGAGCACAATAAACTCTTTGTAACCTCCCCTTAATTTCTATAACCTCCCTTTTAATTTGTAAGCCTCAGTTTTCATGATTCCAGAACTATAAATAGGGCCCTTTAGTTATGTAAGGAGCTCAAACTTGAAAAGAATAAGAATTGCTTGTTTTCATTCGGTTTCTGTGCCAATAAATCTACATTGGTATTAGGGCTTACGTGTTTCTGGGCTACACTTTTTTTGTTTTATGATTGGGATTATGATTTGCTTAATATTCATCCATTCAAATGTACCATAGTTTTATATATATGTATATATATATATATATATTTTGTTTTTTACACTATGAGCCACTTTGCGTTCCATTTCATTTTTTAGTTCATGTGTGAATGAAACATGCTATCTTGCTTTATTTGGGTTGTATATATGTTATATATGAATGTACATGTAATAACCCAAGAATTTTAAGTTAAATTAAATATAAGTATGTATTTTAATGTAATCATATTAGTTTTGGGAGTATTGTGACAAGAAGTGAAGTTCGTGCAGTGGAAGATGGTACACATTATAAGTTCCAGGTCCTGCATTTAAGTCTAGAGAAGGCAAGAGAATTTCATTTTTCTTGCTCTTTTTTATGAAATTATAGAACTGACCTCATCATATTTGATAAAAAAATATTCTCCTTCCCTCTTGGATTTTCCAGATCACACACGAGAGTAAGAGAGGCTTTTTTTTCTCTTCCCTTTGTTGTCTCATCTAACCACTACATCTCTTCCTTCTTATCCCAGCGCTTGCCGACTTTTCTTCACCTTTATGTCTCCAGTGGTCGCCGGTGAGAGTGAAGCTCAAGGCTATGCTAGTTCATTCCCTCTGAGCTCCCTATCTTTGTTTTTTTCTTCCTACATCTTCTGTACTGTCTTCGTCCGTATGACCTTGTTTTAACTACTACTGGGTTGCTAAATCAAGTCATTGCTGTTGCTGGTACTGTCGAGAATCTAGTCTGTTGCTATTGATTCAGTTTTTGTGTTGTCTTGCGAGTAACGTTTAGCTTTCCTCTCCCCTGTTTTGCTGTCTATTTCAAGTTCTTCATCCTTGCTTTCTGTGGTGGTGAGTTAAGGTGAGGAAGCTTCACGTTTAGGTTTCTCTTGCTCTGTGTATATGTGAACTGGTGATTAAAGTAGCAAAACTTGGCTCCCCTGTTGCTGTCTGTGATTGTATGCGGGTGATTGGAGTTGAAAAAAAAAAAGAAAAATTATGCATGCTTTCTATTGCTGTTGTGCCGTGCTGTTTTAGGAGGGAGAAGGTTCAAATTTAAGTTGGAAGTCCATTCTAAAGTTTGATAAGGATATACATGGGTCATCATTTTTGGAGCTAAATAGATCTTATTTGAATTTAATATGGTTAAAGAAACTATTAAGGAAAGATTGGAAGAGAGTAGCTTGGATATATAACTTAAATATTAGCACATATTAGATGCTTGTAAGAAGAATTTGAACTTTATTTTTAGCATTTTGAACTTTCATTTGTTCCTAGGACTTGTATTATTAGTAGTAAGTTGTTGGACATTTTTATGAAATAATTAGAATTTATGCACCTAAAGTAATTGGTGCAAAACTTATGAGAACATTTTTACTTCAAGAAATGGAATGACATGGCTAAAGTTTCATGGGGAAGGTTATAAGTATGAAGGATAATGCTTGGACCAATTTTAAATCATAAATTTGACTTTAAATTTTAGATAATGATGGTTAATTTGGAATTGTGCTAAAAATTAAAAATCTATTAAAGTTTTATTTATTTGTTTATATCCTGATAGGGTGTGAGGAAGAACAGAAACCTGACAAGAATTAAAGAAAGGATACCTTTGAGAATTTTGAACTTTGGCATGTAAGTGAATAGCATTCCATTTAATTTATTTTTAATAGTCTTCTACTGAAATATTTTATTCTTATGAATTACATTAATTTTGAAAATTATGGAATATTGATGAAGAATAAATAGATTATGATATGTGCATTTATTTATTCTCAAAAATATATTTCCAAGATTGATGAAAGCATTCTTGTATGGTTGTTAAGCTTTGAAACTTATTGGCTACTCAATTAATGCAAGTTTGGTATATGAGCTATAAAGTATGATTTTGGTAAATTTTGAGATTTGAAACAATTCATGCGAGTTTGGCATTGAGAATAATAATTTTATTACAACAATAATTATTTTTCTTGCATATTTGAAGCCTGATTTTTAAGAGGACTCTAAGCAAATGCTGCTGCTAATGACAGTTCCATTAGGTCATAATGCACTGTGGTTAAAAACTAGCTAATTTATCTTGTAAACTTTGTTCTCATGCTTGTTATTCATGGGCTTTATACCCACATTTGATTTTATGGCCTGAGCTACGTTTGGTTAGTATTACCCTCGCGGATTGTGTATCCACGTTTGTTTTCGTAGCTTGATTGTGTTTGATTATTTACCCTTATGGACTATGCGTCCATATTTGTTTTCGTGGCAAAGCTGCATTTGGTTATTTATCCTCATGGACTGTGTGTCCACATTTGTTACCTATTTTGTTGAGTTCTCAAAATTTTAAATGTTAACTAATATGTGTTTTCGAAATTTACATGATTTTAGCTAGCAATTATATCACTTTGATTTATGTGTGAGTAAATTGTTTTCTTGAAGCATGATAAAATAAATTTGCTTCCAATTTACTCTTGTTTTACGATTATGGTTACGACTTACAAACCTACAAGTTTATTTTTTGAATTTTTTTAAATTAGTTTACACCATTATTTGAGTTTTTTAATTTAAATTTTAAAATTCTACTTTGGGAATGCTATTTACTGAAAAACTTATTTTAGTCTCAGATTTATTAGCTGATGCTGATCCCACCACTAACCTCTGAAGGGCAATATAGACTATTAGGCAGAAATTTTGGTTGGTACCATTACTTTTGATGTAAATATATAAGTCGTATGTATTTTTAAATTTTTTAAAAAAAGATTAGTGTTCTAAATAGATTGTTGTTAGGATTTTATTTTGATCTATATATACTGTTGCTAGTTGGAAGGAGCTAAGCTCCTGATTGATATTGTATTTTGTGAAAAAAATTATTGTAGAATTTTTGAGAGATCCTATTTATAAGGAAGGTTCTGTCGAAATTTTTTAAAAAAATGTTGAAGTCTTGTTATGACAATTAATATTAAAAGTGTTAGAATTTCTATATGATCTAATTGTTTTTTTTAGAAAATGGAATGAATTTTTATTTTAAGACTTACGGGAATGCATGATGTTGTTCATACTCGTGCCGGTCACCCTCTATTTTTGCGGAGTGATAGTACACATGACCCATGTGCTCTATGTGTGATGGAAGTTTTCAAAACTCCAAACCATAAGCAAAACCGAAAAAGGTGTTTTAAAAATGGGGTGTTTTGGGAAAATGGTTGGTACTATTGCATAGTACTAAATAAACAAAGAAAAGGACACCAAAAATGCGTGAAGTGGACGTTGGACAGAGGAGATATGGGCCTCTAAAGTTTCAGGTCCGACGAAGTCAACCTAGTCAAGGAACTGGGTCAATGTGACTTGAACAGAGGAAGGAGACAACCAAAATGATGTCGTTTTGGTCATTCCTTAAAAAAATCAGGTTTTTAGGCCAAATGAGATAGGGCCCAAATGGAAAAAAGAATAGAAGTTTGTTTAATGTTGTGGGCATGCTAGATTAGACCTGTATAAAATTTTTTTGACCCTTAAAATGTTGGGATTTCAAAAAAATTATGTTTTTTAGATAAATAGGTTTCACTTAATTATAAGATAAAGAATAACTTTTAATATAAAATCTACTCATATCTTCTTGTTTTTATATTATGTAGAAAAAAAGAGTAAATCACTTAAATAAAAGAAAGAAAAGAAGATAATTAGGAGAATCAAATACCATATATATATATATATATTAAAGAATCAAATAAGATTTACGCATGATCTAGATGGATTCTAATCCCTTTGAAGTAACGTGTGATGCAAGAGATTATGTGGTTGGAGCTATCCTTGGGTAAAGGAAAGACAAGAACTTCTATTGTATGTGTAACCTCTACTAATATCCACATGATAATAGAAAAGGTTAACTTATTGATATAACACATTTATTACATACTTTTCTATGTCAATTAGGACCATTATTAAGGTTTTATTATCTCAAAGTGTACACACATTGCATAGTTTTGGAATTTACTTAAATGTTTAGGTTTTGTGCACTAGGGGTATTTTTGGTCCAAAATAAACTTTTGAGAAAATGTAAGAAAAATTGACGAAATGTATTTTAAGTCTAGAGAATAGTGGTCAAATAATATTTTTGAAATTTATTTTTAGTTTGAAAAAGTCAATATTTTCTCAAGTATGCTAGTTTGATCTAATTTTCAGTTTTGGTTGTGTGAAAATTTTATATAATTTATTGCATCTAAGAACTTGGTTATTTTAATAAATTCTACCTTCTAAATATGAATTAATTTCATACATAAATTAGATTTTATGATGTCACATGTTTTTTTAATTGAATTATGTGATTTTTGTTATATAGGTGACGGGTGACTTGTGTATCAATTAGGCAAATAAAGTCAAAAGTCTATGGGATCAAAGCTGAGCATTAGGGATATTTTTCTTCTTAATTAGGTGGTCTTTATTAGCTTAAAATGTGGATAATGCATGGATTAAGTTGACACACATTGGAAATCATTTACAAGCGAATAGAAGGGTGCACCCTGGCAAGTGTGATAAGGCCCCAAAATTTATTTTTATTTGTTTTCTTTTATTTAATGAGTATTCAGCTGAAGCCAACACCTTAAGCACAACCATTCACCTCACATTTTCAGATTTACAATACCTTATTTCATCATCTCTTCAATTCTCTCTTTCTAGTTCAT